AACTCTCTTCTCACGTTGCTCCATTCGGAGCAGTGGGTAAGCGCTCGACGAATATAAGCATTGAGATCACTGGTTTGTTATTTTTGTGGGCACTCACTCCTACCGTTCAGGCATAATTCTATGATGGTAGGTTTTGTATATACGTTGGTGCTTAAAGAGGTTCCTGTTTTTGTTATTAGTACATCTAAGAATGGCAGACTGTTATTTTCACTATTTTCATGTGTAAATCGGAGTACTGACTCTCTCTCTAGATGACTTTTTTAGATCAATTAGTTCGTCTGAGTTTTTTTACTGTGACGAATATGTCATCTACATAACGGCAGTATACAGTTGATTTTTGTCTGCTACTGAAGACTCTGTCTTCGATAGTTCCCATATAAAAAATAGCAAATAACACTCGTAATGGGGACCCCATTGTTACTCCGTCTTTTTGTAGATACATGTCTCCTTGCGGACTGATGAAAGGGGCTTCCTTTGTGACATTGGTAAATAGGGATTCGACGTCCAGGGAAGCAATGATTCCATCGGGCGGTGTAGTTTTGATTAATTCTAGGTTAATTTTTACACAGCCCGATGGAATCATTGCTTCTATAATTAGCATAATTAAACATAATTTGCGACATCCATAGTGATGACACTAAATTTCAACGAATAACGAGGAACCCTGTGGAAGACCTTAAATGCAAAGTGAACAAACTATTACTGCAATCAACGCAAAGAAAGGTAGTGTTCATTTCAATAAACTCCAAGGCGACTATGGCAATGTTAAGACACACAAACCAGGTAACCCAATACTTCCAATAATCAGCCATATACCAACTCCAATCACCTGGCAAGAAGACTTACCGAACTCCTAACTCTATACACTACAAGCAACTATAGTCTACAGTCATCTGCAGATTTCCTAGAATTAATCAAAACTACACAGCCCGATGGAATCATTGGAGGCATGTACAAAGGAAGCCCCTTTCATAAGTCCACAAGGAGACATGTATCTACAAATAGATGGAGTAACAATGGGGTCCCCATTACGAGTGTTATTTGCTATTTTTTATATGGGAACTATCGAAGACAGAGTCTTCAGTAGCAGACAAAAATCAACTGTATATTTCCGTTATGTAGATGACATGTTCGTCATAGTAAAAAACTCAGACGAACTAATTGATCTATAAAGTCATCTAGAGAGAGAGTCAGTACTCCGATTTACACATGAAAATAGTGAAAATATCAGTGTGCCATTCTTGGATGTGCTAATAACAAAAACAGGAACCTTTTTAAGCACCAACGTATATACAAAACCTACCAACATAGGATTATGCCTGAACGGTAAGAGAGAGAGTGCCCCCAAAGATACAAAACCAGTGTTCTCAATGCTTATATTCGTCGAGCGCTTACACACTGCTCCGAATGGAGCAATGTGAGTAGAGTTTGATAGAATAAATATACATTTATTTATACATAGACACCAAACAAAAAATAGAAATATACAAATATACATAAAAACTTTTCAGCACGTTGGCTCACCGGTGTTTGTGAGGCACCATTAGTGATTGCCCTCCCGCGTGGCACTGAATATTAAACAATGCTTTTAAAGTCAGGTTAAGTGAAAGCAAATAGTTTAATTGCTCAGATAACATCTGTGCTACTAGTATACTCGTACCTTGTGCTGTTGCGGAAAATATAAAAATTGTTGACACAATCAATATGTCAATCTAACGAATAACGCATTTAATGTCGTTATAAAAAGGTTCAGTTCTAGAGTATACGAATTCCTTACATATGAGAACATTTTTAACTAATCTGAATTCATTTCGAGCTCACTTCATAATTCTGTCTGTTGCAATATCTAATCTCAATCTGTCTTTCAACCTTTTTATATGGTTTCTTATTGATATGGTTACTCCTTTCAGTTGTTTTTATGATTTTAAGTTTTATTACATATCTATTTTAGTCAGTCTCTATGACAATCTTGGTTTGAAGATGGATTAATACGAGTCTTTTTTCGGAATATATGTATAATAAGTGATTTTATATGAAAATCTGTCAGCGTGTTTACCTTTTGTCATAAGTTGTTATTAAAGTTAAATATAGGGAAACTGACTCATGGGATTTACTTATTTATAATTTATTAATTTATATTTATTTAATTCTTACGTTAATTTGTTTATTTTGTTAGTAGATTGTATGAATTTAAATTGGACTGTAGATATTAAATTCCCACAAATAGTTTCCTACACAAGCTCGGGGGTTTATTATTTATAGTCTAGTAATCGATTGGTAGACATTCACTATAAAGTTACTAGGTGTTAAGACTACTTAGATTAGTAAAATATATTTGGAAATACAGCTTATCTGTATAGTTTTAATGGCCTGGTTAACCAGATTTGAATGCGTATGATTGCATGTCACGTGTTGTACTAGGTAGTTGATTGCTAATTTTTCTTCCCCTTCAATTTCAACTGTCAAAAAGAGGGGGGGAGGGGGCACATAGTCATAATCGTAACCAATATATGACAGCTATATTAGTGGAAATTATTGGTTAATTATTTGATATTTACCTCTTTTTGGTGGCTCGCCATGTGACTTAACCGGAATAACCTAATCTATAATACTAGCTAGGAATAGCTAGACATAATGGGTTATCGAGTACGGAACACTTCCCTTATTGTTGACGAAGATCGTGCTGGTGATAGGAACTGTTTACATCCAATAACACTGTCTAGAGGGAAATAATTGTGGAGCTTCAGGTGTGCTCCACGCGTGACATTGTTTACGTTAAATTAATGGCATCTGCTCCCTCTCGGCTCGAGAGAAGCCACTCCCTCGGCGGTTCCTATACTGCCCTTTTATTGACAATGGGAGGTAGACATTAGTTTGTTAGTAATTATATTAGATCCAGTCAAAGGGAATACGTTTTGTTGATTCTAATGCTAGACTGGTGGTTTAATTGAGTTCACATTATTATTAGCAGGTGAATTTAATTGCGACGTGGCAATGATATCCCGTTTTTCTTGGGGAAAAAGTCACAAAAATCTTGTTTTCTTTGAATGAATAACTAAGATATTGATATCCTTTTCATTTTCTAGACCATACGATTTACAATCCCTGAACCCATGTTGGTGTGTTACAAAATTCTTTCCCTACAGATGCTCTATGAGCCATTTCCTTACAATGTTCTCCATCACCTTGCATGGTATATGTGTACACACCTAGTTGTACTCACCTAGTTGTGTTTGTGGGGGTTGAGCCCTGGCTCTTTGGTCCCGCCTCTCAACCGTCAATCAACAGGTGTACAGATCCTGAGCCTACTGGGCTCTATCATATCTACACTTGAAACTGTGCATGGAGTCAGCCTCCAGGAGTGCCGGACCAACCGGGCTGTGGTGGGTATGTGGGCCTGCGGGCCGCTCCAAGCAACAGCCTGGTGGACCAAACTCTCACAAGTCGAGCCTGGCCTCGGGCCGGGCTTGGGGAGTAGAAGAACTCCCAGAACCCCATCAACCAGGTATCAACCAGGTAACCACCATATCACTTCCTTATGCATTCCATTTGTCAACCACTCTGACACTAAAAAAGGTCTTTCTAATATCTCTGTGGCTCATTTGGGCATTCAGTTTCCACCTGTGTCCCCTTGTGCGTGTGCCCCTTGCGTTAAATAGCCTGTCTTTATCTACCCTATCAATTCCCTTCAGAATCTTGAATGTGGTGATCATGTACCCCCTAACTCTTCTGTCTTCCAGCGAAGTGAGGTTTAATTCCCGTAGTCTCTCCTCGTAGCTCATACCTCTCAGCTCGGGTACTAGTCTGGTGTCAAACCTTTGAACCTTTTCCAGTTTAGTCTTATCCTTGACTTGATAAGAACTTCATGCTGGGGCTGCATATTCCAGGATTGGCCTGACATATGTGGTATACAAAGTTCTGAATGATTCTTTACGCAAGTTTCTGAATGCCGTTCTTTAGTTGGCCAGCCTGGCATATGCCGCTGATGTTAACCTCTTGGTATGGGCTGCAGGAGACAGGTCTGGCGTGATATCAACCCCCAAGTCTTTTTCTTTCTCTGACTCCTGAAGAATTTCCTCTCCCAGATGATACCTTGTATTTGGCCTCCTGCTCCCTACACCTATCTTCATTATATTACATTTGGTTGGGTTAAACTCCAACAACCATTTGTTCGACCATTCCTTCAGCTTGTCCAGGTCTTCTTGAAGCCTAAAGCAGTCCTCTTCTGTCTTAATCCTTCTCTTAATTTAGCATCGTCTGCAAACATTGAGAGAAATGAATCTATACCCTCCGGGAGATCATTTACATATATCAGAAACAAGATAGAATCGAGTACAGAGCCCTGTGGGACTCCACTGGTGACTTCACGCCAATCGGAGGTCTCACCCCTCACAGTAACTCTCTGCTTCCTATTGCTTAGGTACTCCCTTATCCACTGGAGCTCCTTACTAGCTACACCTGCCTGTCTCTCCAGCTTATGTACCAGCCTCTTATGCGGTACTGTGTCAAAGGCTTTCCGACAATCCAAGAAAATGCAGTCCGCCCAGCCCTCTCTTTCTTGCTTAATCTTTGTCACCAAGTCGTAGAATTCTATTAAGCCTGTCAGGCAAGATTTACCCTCCCTGAACCCATGTTGGCGATTTGTCATGAAGTCCCTTCTCTCCAGATGTGATACCAGGTTTTTTCTCACGATCTTCTCCATCACCTTGCATGGTATACAAGTCAAGGACACTGGCCTGTAGTTCAGTGCCTCTTGCCTGTCGCCCTTTTTGTATATTGGGACCACATTCGCCGTCCTCCATATTTCTGGTAGGTCTCCCGTATCCAGTGACCTACTATAAACTATGGAGAGTGGCAAGCAAAGTGCCTAGGCACACTCAGTACCCATTGCGAGATCCCGTCTGGACCAACAGCCTTTCTAATTACATCCAGATCCAGCAGGTGTCTCTTGACCACCTGTCTCGTAATTTCGGACCCTTTTTGGGTTGTGGTTGTGGCATATGAAGACCTTCAATATCTTCATAACTGCAAAACGATACCAACATATTGACCAGTTTTTTCATAGTTATAACCAGCTTGCAATTCCACCCAACAACAAGAACCGCATGATAAAACTCAGCACCATCATTACTTATTTTACCAACAAATTTGGCTCATACTACGTCCCCAATCAATCACTCAGTTTGGATGAAGGTACAATGTCGTGGCGTGGTCGTTTATCCTTCAAGGTTTACAACCCCAATAAGCCTGATAAGTATGGGGTAAAGTTGTACATGCTTGCTGAGGCAGGGACTGGTTATATTATTGATTTCGAGGTTTATTCTGGAGTGGGCAAGATAACAGTTGAGACAGTGATGGGCCTTATGCGACCCTTGTTGAACAAAGGTTATCATCTTTATATGGACAATTATTATAACTCTGTCCATCTCACTGAATTGCTAAGGGAAAATGGTGTGTACACTTGTGGAACACTGAGATTGCAGCGTGGTGCCCCCAAAGAGCTGCAACAACTTGCAAAAGGTAAATTCGCTGTTGATCAGACTATTTTCAGGCGCAAGGATAACATTTTCGTTATCCTATGGAAAGACAAGAGAGTGGTGTCAGTGATCACAAACTGCCATAATGCTGACACCCCAGGAAGTACAGAGAAGGAAGAGAGTGAAGAAACGCGACGGAACATCTCACTTCAGATTGTAACTGTGAACAAACCAACAGCCATTTGCGACTACAACACCAACATGAAGGGAGTTGATCACTTCGACCAAATGGTCAAATATTACAGGTTCACCAGGAAATCACATAAGTGGACTAAGAAGATCACATTTTATTTCCTTCAGATGGCTATACACAATGCCTATGTGTTTTAAAAGATGTACACAAATGATGCCAAGAAATTGACCCTACTCCAGTTTCATGAGGTAGCAATATGGTCCCTGTTGAGGTGGGACCTGGATGATTGGCCTGCCACTGAAAGCCCTCTCCCACATGCTGATGATTACCAAGATCCTTCTGATGATTTGGCAACACCTGGCCCATCTGGAGTGAGGCGTCCTTTATTTCGTCGTCCTGCACGCCAACCACATGACTCATCCTCATCAGACACAGAACCTGAAACTGAAACGCCTGCACCTCAAGCTGAAGCTAGTCCTCCACCTGTGAAAAACCCACGCATTGTTGATTCAGAGGACAGGCTAAACAAGAAGTTGACTCATGCAATAGTGAAAATTGCTAAACGGAAACGGTGCCGAGTTTGTATCAAGTCGGGAATTAGAAAAGACTCTATGTATCAGTGCAAGATATGTGGAGTTGCTCTATGTGCCACACCATGCTACACAAAATACCACCGCAAGAGGGTATTTTGGACAGCAAAAAAAAAGCGCCTCTGCAAGCTTCCACTCCACCTAACGTAACATCTGTTAAGCAACTTCAGGGACATTTTCCTGAAGCAGGTGGAGTGGATAACCAAATGCTCAACTTGTTGACCTTCCTTCATCACATCGTGAGTAAGTACACACAATTTTTATTCAACATTGTGAAGTTATTACTTCTTCATACTTTGCTGTGGGTACCTCTATATATATTCCGGTTCTTAGTGCTCAGATTGGTATGTCTACATAGTGCATCTTATTGCGAGTATTTTGATACCAAAATGAACAATGTAGCACAAAAACTTCCACTGGAACAATATTTTTGTTTGTCGGGTGTATTGGGTGTAGCGGGTGTGGAAATGGGTGTTTGGGCGGGTGAGGCATCGACGTGTTTGGGGGTGTTTGGGGGTGAGGCGCGCCCGTGTAACCCACTTTAATCCATATGTCTGTGTAGGCAATTTTATTGCGATCACCGTGATACCAAACAAAACCATATGCAACAAGTTTTGACTTGATAAACACAATCAAAGTAGAAACATATAGGGAGAGTTTAGAGGAGTTTAGCGTGAGCGCGAAACAAAGCACGCAGTTCTTTGGTTGGTGGTCGCGTAATGTTAGCTTTAGTGAAATGTTATGCATATGTTCTTATAGAACATTTCATTAACTACACAGTGATACCAAAATAAAACACGTACATCGAAAATGAGGGTCACAAACATGAGGAGAGTATAAACTTTTCAGTTGTGGTTGAGCGCATGTGCAGCTGGGCGAGCTGGAGAAGGTAACCCTAAGCCAACTTCCCACATTCCTGTGGGTGGGGCGACACCATTATTTATTGTGTATATTTATATGTCGTGTAGGGAATTTTATTGCGGTCACAATGATACCAAAATAAACCACGAATAACAATTATGGGGTTCGCAAACATAAAAACATCGTAAACATTGATGCCCGGTTTTATGCTCACGGCTAACGAACGCCACAGTTTGTTATTTGGTGTGGTTCTCATGTTGTCTTTGGTGACACTTTATGCAACCCGTTCTCGCAAATTCGTAAAGTTAATATTGACTTATTAAATAAGTGCATAGGTGACATACTAAACATAATAGATACCCTTAAAAAGCTTCATAGAAAACACCGACCTTACCTAACCTTGTTAGTATCTTAAGATAAGCGTCTTATAGCTTCGTAATTACAATTGTTACTTAACCTATTATAGGTATAGGTTAAGTAATAATTGTAATTACAAAGTAATAAGATGCTTATCTTAAGATACTAACAAGGTTAGGTAAGGTCGGTGTTTTCTATGAAGCTTTTTAAGGGTATCTATTATGTTTAGTATATCACCTATGCACGTAGTTAATAAGTCAATATTGACTTTACGAATTTGCGAGAACGGGTTGCTTTATGTATATATTCCTCTAGAGCATTCTCTCGCGAACACAATGATACCAAATTTAAATACATACCGCAAAAATTAAGCTCACCACCCCGAAAAGATTATAAACATTTTAGTGCTGACGCACAGTAGGCCGACACGAACGGCTCACTTAGGGGTCAAGGTCAGTCTATTCCCAGGGAGTGCGAAAGTGTTACATCCAGATCCAGCAGGTGTCTCTTGACCACCTGTCTCGTAATTTCGGACTCTTCCAAGGCCGCCTGGTTTACGTCCCTTTTTCCTAGCACAGTGACCTCACCTTGTTCTGTTGTGAAGACCTCTTGGAACCTCTTGTTGAGTTCTTTACACACCTCTTTGTCATTCTCTGTATACCTGTCCTCGCCTGTTCTAAGTTTCACTACCTGTTCTTTCACTGTTGTTTTCCTTCTGATGTGACTGTGGAGTAGCTTTGGTTCGGTCTTGGCTTTGTTTGCTATATCATTTTCATAACTTTTCTCTGCTTCTCTTCTCACCCTGATATACTCATTCCTGGTTCTCTGGTATCTCTCTCTGCTTTCTGGTGTTCTGTTATTCCGGAAGTTCCTCCACGCCCTTTTGTTCAGTTTTTTTGCTTCCATACATGCCCTATTATACCATGGATTCTTCATTTGCTTCTCGGATTTTTCCTTTTGGGCCGGGATGAACCTGTTTCCTGCCTCCTGACACTTTGGGTGACATAGTCCATCATATCTTGTACAGACTTAGCTCTGAGGTCCGTGTCCCAAGGTATTTTTCCCTTAGGAAACGTCTCATCTCCTCATAATTTCCCATTCGGTATGCCAGCGTTTTGTTTCGTAGTTCTTTTTTGGGGAAGATACTTCCTAGCTCTACCAGGTACTCAAAGTTCAATACACTGTGTTCACTCATTCCCAAGGGTGCTTCCATCTTGACTTCCCTTATATCCCACTCATTTAGGGTAAATATCAAATCAAGCATTGCTGGTTCATCTTCTCTTCTCATTCTTGTTGGTTCCTTGATGTGCTGGCTTAGAACGTTTCTTGTTGCCGCGTCCAGCAGCTTAGCTCTCCATGTTTCTGGTCCTCCATGCAGGTCTCTGGTCTCCCAATCTATCTTCCCATGGTTGAAGTCCCTCATGATTATTAGTCCAGATCCATTTCTGCTAGCAACAGAAGCTGCTCTCTCTATAATGTTAATGGTGGCCCATGCTGTTTCTATCATATTCCTGTCTGGGTCTTCTGTCATTTGGTGGTGGATTATATATGACTACGACTATAATTTTTTGCCCTCCAGTTGTTATTGTACCTGTTATGTAGTCACTGAAACCTTCAAATCCCTGAACAACTATCTCCTCAAAATCCCAGCCTTTTCTTACCAGCAGGACTACACCACCACCACCTCTTCCTTCTCTCTCTTTCTTCATAACATAATAGTGACTAGAGTTCAAATGCAGTGTTCCTGTGGGAACACTGCATTTGTTATGGTTTTTGTTAGCTTTGTTTCTGTGAGAGCTATTATGTCTGGGTTTTCTTCTAGTACCCATTCTCCAAGTTCATTTGCTTTATTTGTAATTCCATCTATGTTAGTGTACATTGCCTTGAGGGTCACTTTTTTCTGTCCCTTCTCATATCGCCTCCTTGGTGAGTGTTCTGCTGGTGGGGGAAGCTGTTCCATGGGTGTGAGGATTTGTGAGGTAGATAACAGGGTCGCAGAGGATACTGGGATGAAGGGTGGGGGGTCAAGTGAATGGGGAAGGACAGGGAGGGTATGGGGTGAAAGGGGAGGGAGGACAGGAAGGAAAGGGGGGGGGGGAGAATGCAGGAGGAGAGGAGGGGTAGTAGGGTGGTGATTGGGTGTCGGGGGAGGGAGTTTGGCTAAGTATTTGAGTGGGGGAAGGGAGGGATTGGGGTAGGGGGGCTTTGTATGCAGAGGAGGGTGGTAGGGTTGCCCTCCCCACTGGTGTTACTGGGTTGCTGGTTGTGAGTTCCCTCCTTGCCTCTGGGATGATGCGTTGGGAGCGGTGATTTCCTGGTTTTCCCCTCTCGCCTTGCGCTTCTTCCTTGCTTCTGCCGCCATGGCTCTCTCCTCCTTCGTCATGTCCTTCTGGAGGAATACTTTTTTGAATTCTCCCACATGTTGCAGGTGGCTTTTCTTTGTGAAAATCATCTCCTTTGTGTTCTCGTTTGCAAACACTATCTCTAACACACGGTCTCGGTCTTTTTTGTACCAGTCTAGCCTGAAAACCTTCTCAATACTATGCTCAGCCCCTTCCATGTCTAGTGCATTCAGTATTTCATTCACTGCCGCTTTGTCCTTATCACTCCACTCTTTCCTATTAGAGCCTTCCTGCTCTTTAATACCCACAGCTACCACCACTGATCTTTTCCTTTCCAGCAGCTGGCTAGTGGAGCGTGCCGCTTCCTGTGAGGTGGCTGCTTGCACGACTACCTCCATCACTGCAGACATTACTTAAGAGATTTTTTTTAGCATTTCTGCAAATGTTGCTTTTATTGTGACATTCTTTTCCAAAATACTATTACCACATTCTCCCTGGGTAGTTATCTGAGTCTCAGCATCGACACTCTTCTCTTTGAGGGCTCTGATCTCCTCCTATTTTGTGTGTGTGTGTGTGTGAGTGTGTGTACTCACCTAATTGTACTCACCTAATTGTGCTCTCTGGGGTTGAGGTCTAGCACTTTGGTTCCACCTCTCAACCGTCAATCAACAAGTGTACAGGTTCCTGAGCCTATTGGGCTCTATCATATCTATCATATCACACAGTGTGTGTACTCACCTATTTGTGCTTGCGGGGGTTGAACTTTGGCTCGTTGGTCCCCCCTCTTAACTGTCAATCAACTGGTGTACAGATTCCTGAGCCTACTGGGCTCTATCATATCTATATTTGAAACTATATGGAGCCAGCCTCCACAACATCACTGTCTAACGCATTCCACCTGTTAACTACTGACACTGAAAAAGTTCTTTCTAACTTCCCTGTGGCTCATTTGGGTACTCGGTTTCCACCTGTGTCCCCTTGTTCGCGTACCTCCCGTGTTAAACAGTTAATCCTTATCTACCCTGTCAATTTCCCTGAGAATTTTGT